GATTGAGTTTGGCCGTGAGCGGCTCTTGCCGTGGGGCGTGGCGGGGGAGATCCCTCCTTCTCTTCTCCCTCGCCCTCTTTTTCCCTTTCTCATACTCCCCCTCTCCTCCCTTTCCTCCTCCCCCCACCCTCCCCCCCTCCTCTCTCCCTGCTGCTACTGCTCCTCCTTCTCCTCTGTTTCCTCCCCCCCCTCCTCCTTGTCCTCCTCCCCCTCCGTCTCGTCCTTCTCATCCTCCCTCCCGTTTTCTTCCTCCTCTTCCTCCTCTTCCTCCTCCTCCTCCTCCTCCTCCTCCTCTTGTTCTGTGTCCTTTCATTATTGGATGCAGCAGGTGCGGCAACTCCCCAGGGCAGGAGCTGGTAATGAGAGACGCAGGGCAAATCACATCAAGTGCTGTGCCTTGTGCGGCAGCTTCCACCGCACAGGGGCAGCCGCGCACAGATATGTAACTCGACATGAAGCCACACGTTGTTCAGGCCAGGCCATACGATGCTGACATCTTCGAACGAGGCACAGGCATTTGACCAAGCATTCGCCGACGTGATAACAATTTGCCAGAGTTTTTTGTGAGCGACCGCAGAACGCATCCCAGGATTCGCGCACCATCATTCGGGTGTTGTCTTAAGTCGCCCACCGTTGTTCGGCAAATGTTTGCCGCCTTTTAGCTTTTTGTAAGCAAAAACATGTTCTGGGAGAGTTGATATTCAGGCCTTACCGCTGAATTAGTTAAAGCACCCCTTTTCTCCAGTATTATCCGAGGCCCCCTTCTCCACACCTCCCCCCTCCCCCCCGCCCCGGGAAGGATGTTCGAAGACCGAGTGAGTTCCGGTGGAAGATGGACTCTTTAATTTGAACGCCAGGGGGGGTGCTTTAAACACTCCCTTGGTACATGTCCGCCCTTCGGTTTTCAGGTTTCAGGCGCTTGCCGTGGCATGGTAGCCCTTCGGCGTCACCGACAAGCTCAAGTCTGCCCAACGGGCGAGGAGACTTGGGCCATGCAGTTACAGCAGAGGATCAAAACATGCTGTCGGACCGAGGCATCAGATCGAGGTCGGTTCGGGAAGGGTGCCCTCATGTTCTTCGTGCGTGTTGAATGTTCTTGCGTATTTTTGTTGGGGGGGACCCTCGAATGTTCTTCAGTTTGGCCGGCGGAGGGTCTCATGTTCGTGATGGATGTTATTCTGTCTTAGGTCTCGCCGCACAGTGGTAGACTCGATGCACGTTTTTCATTATTGGTACTGGTTTCTCCTGAGTTGGCCACCGCGCCCACCACAGCGTCGATCCGGACTTCTTCCCCCTGGTTCCAGAAGGGGGCTCCTGCCCCCCATTGGACCCGCCCCAAGACGCTCACCACAGGGTCCGAAGGCCCCGGGTGGGGTGGGGGTTCGGGAGACCCCTTGGAACAGGAGTGAATAGTATCGGGTCCAGTTGGTGGTGGCGGTGGTGAGCCCAGGCAGATCCTGCTTCGCTCCTTTTTGGTTCCTCTTTTGCCATTGTGATCGGTCAGGAATCGAATCAGATGTCGGAAAACTAATCAGGACCCTGCCAAAACTAAACGAGACCCTAGGGAAACTAAACAGGACCTTGCCAAAACTAAACGAGACCCTGGGAAAAGTAAACATGACCTTGCCAAAACTAAACGAGACCCTAGGAAAACTCAACAGGACCTTGCCAAAAACTAAAGGAGACCGTAGGACAACTAAATAGAAGCCTAGCATAACTAAACGAGACCGTAGGAGAACTAAAGAGGACCCTCGCAAAACTAAACGAGACCCTTGAAAAGACTCCAAGAGTTGCCAGGTGCTCCGGGCGCCGCCTTCGGCGGCGACACCTCCGGGGGGCTTGGCCCCCCGGTGTGGGATGCCTGTCAAATCAATCACAGGCTCTGGGCAGATGTTTGAAACACTCGGGATCTCCAAAGAGCCACGCAGGTAAGTTTGTGAACGCAGAGTCTAGCCACAGCCACCTGCCAAGATCTTCGTCGTGACCATGTCTTGCCTTCCGCTCGTGTTGCCCCATTTCCCTTTAAGTTACGGGTACTCCAGGGAGCCCCAAAAGATGTTTCCACAAGGTGTGCGCACTCTATTTGAAAGGTCGGGCAACGTCGCGCAGACTTGGATGACAGAATCCTCGTCCGATTGTGGCTTCTTTGACCCTCGCTGGTGCCAAAGCACGACAAGTTATTACAGTCAGCGACAGTGATAAGAAACCCAAGGATCTGCCCAGGGACCCTTGCATCCTTAGGTTTTGCTGGTTTTGCTTCTGGCCGTGTCGGTGTCACAGAAGCCTCCCGTAATTATGGGCTTGCCTCCTGACCCGACATCCTGGCTGTGCAATCAGTGGCCCTAGCACGAGTGGTCCCAGAAATGCTGGAGCAGAAATTGCATACACTCTGGCCCGAAGGGCCAAGAACTACGTGTTATTGGCCCGTCAGGTTGGAATCTCTGTAGTTTCTGCTCCAGGTTTTCTGGGACCCCGTCGTGCTAGGGCCAGTGATTGCAGAGCCCGAGTCTCTGACGGTACATTTCCTTTTGCTAAGGTCCCCATGTCTAAGTATTGCCTGGGGATGGCAAGGCTTGGTTCTATAGCCCCATCCGCGGTCCCCCAGGGCCTGGAGGGTGACAACGGAAAGGAGAGGAGTCAACCATCTGCCCCTTTTTCGGCAGTGCCCCCAGGACGCTTCGGTCCCAGAAAGGCGTGGTTGAATCGGGATCCACTGCCCCTCTTCCGCGAGGCAGTTCTATAGAGGGAGATACTGAGGGCAATGATGTGTTTAGTCAGTTTGGAGGATGTCGTGGATTCAGTAGGGGTCGGGATTGACATGCCTCGAAGAACTCGCGCCCACCCGAATCGCAATCATGTGGTATATCTGCGGGCAGCTGACATTTTGCTATCCGTCGACATTCTCCTCCTTGCTCCCATCTCCTTCTATATCCCCTGGATGGGGTCGAAGGCGGGCGCGGCTCCGGCGGAGGAGCGCCCCTTTCCTCCTCCCCTCATCCTTCGTTCCTCCTCTTTGCATCCCTGCTCCACCATCCGTCGCCCCACGTTGTCTCCCATCCTTGCTCCAAGAAAAGGTAGATGATGCGGCCGCGCGCCCGCGTTCGCATTGTGCTGCCCGTTCGATATCGGCACAGCGAACCAGCAAACTAGGAGGCTTGGCCAAAGCAAACGGTGGGGGCGTACTCCAAGCGCCGGCGGCGCCAGCCGCCAAACACAGTCCTAGCGCTAACATGTAAAGTGTAGTGTTGTTGGTGCCTGCGGCAAGGTCCGACGCTTCGAGCTATGCTTGCTCAGACGTCCGGGGCATGTGACATCTGTCATGTTGTCGGACTGGTGTCGGACCTTCTTGGGGGGTCCCTTGGGGCCCTCTTGGGGCGTCTCTGGGGCCGTTGGGGGCAGCCTTGTCGCCGCGTTCCGCGGTGGCCGCCCGGGGCCCGGGACGTGTGTACTTGCAGTCCCTGGGGGACCAAGGGATGTGTGTATTCGCACTCCCCCCCAGCTGGGGACGTCGACTTCAGTTCTGGTTTGGCAACGCAGGGGTGCCTTCGAAGTGGCGACCGTTTACCTGTGCGAAATACAGAACAAGGGGTGATCTGTGCACGCAGCTCGTGTGCTCAATCGTGTAATTGCGCGTGTGGGTCCACCATTTACACATATCGTGGTGTGATTTGTGTACACGGGTCGTGCTCCCATCTGCGTATTTGGAGTGTGCTCCCCGCGGGAAGTTTCGCGTTCCTCTCGGCTTGTCTTCGGGGGGGCTTTGCGCGCGGGCGAAGTGGGTTCGTGTCTCCAACGGAGCACGCGCTGCGCGCTACCAGCTGGAGCGGCGCCTGCGTGGGAGTTCCCGCCGATATCCTTGCCGGTCACAGAAGGGGGCCGTGGTTTGGGAGGAAAAATGGCGCGGGTGCCTGGGGATGATGCGCGAGGGGAGGGAAAAGGTGCGAGAGAGGGGAAGGGGACGGGGCCAGGGGATGAAAAGGGGGAGGGGGGGAGGGGTGGAAATGGGCCCAGGAGGAACTGCAACATCGGCGCCAGCATCCCGAGAATGAGGAAACCGGGGGGGTGCGGAAGGAGGTAGGATTACTTGCGCATGGCCGTAGGGGGGGGGGAGGGGGCCGAGGGCGCAGAGGGGGGCGGGGGGGCGTGTCGGGCGGAGGAGGGCGATGAGGAACGCCGCGCAATTGCGGAAGGGGACAGGAGAATGACGAGGAGGAGGAGGGGCATGATGAGGAAAGAGGGGGTCGGATGGACACAAGGAGGGTGAGGCGAAGGGGAGGGGCGCTGGGGAGGTGGAGGGGGATGGTGCATGAGGGTGGGCAAATGCTCATCTGGGCGGTGTTGCGCGTGCCCGTGCAACACCGTAAAACAGAAGTGGCTGTTGCAGAACAGCGCTGTCATGGCCGTCGTGCGCGGCGTGCGTCCAAACCAAACGCTCGAATCCACGTCGCTTCCCTGCGTCGTGTTGATGCCGCCCGTCTTCGCCCGACCGCGCATGCGCAGATAGGCTGAAGATGTGCTTCAACCTTTGCCTCATGACCCCGCTAAAGTGACACATCAGCGTTGGAATCAAATGGTTGAACTTTTCAATATCCTTCCCACTTCTTGAGTTGAGTTCCTATTGGCTCCACGGGCTCGGGACAAGAACGACCAGACGCGCTTTTGCGCCCAGTGTTTGATATTGGCGGTCCCGTCTAACTTCGGCTTCTGTGGGCCGGGCTGGTGGCGAAAATGTGAAAAAGCGGCCGCCGGCGACCCAGAACCGGTCGATGTTGGACGATATATGACATGTCGGAAACGGCCGATCGTTCAAGTTTGAACACTTCCCGCGGTGTCAGGAACCATCGCCAGGGTCGTCACGACACGAACATGCCGTATTGTAAACCAGGGCCATGGGCACAGCCAGGAGGGAGATGCCTCGTTAGCTGTATGGTTTGCTTTCGTCGCCCGAGGGGTCTCGGGCGGACCATCTCCACGATCGGTTGCCGTGACGCGAGCGGTGTAGGCTTTGGCTCCAGGGAGAGCCCGCATGCCAGCTCCTTCTCCCAAACGGTGGGACCAGGATACACCATGATTTGTTTAACCACATATATCTGCAAAATCGAAGCTTGGCCAGAGTGCACCTGGATGGCGCGTGCATGGTTCAATCACCCCACCCTGGGGGGCGAAACCCCCCAGGGTGCTGCCGAAGCCGGCGCTGTGGTGTTGGAGCCATGAACAGGCCATCCCGGTGGATTGTGACCAACCCTCGACTTTTGGAAAAAGAAATATGGGATAACAAAGTCATTGTCGATCCTGCGCCCAGACACTTCACCTTGAGCGCGCAAGCGCGACGCTCGGCGTATCCACTTCTCCTCCCTCTCCTGCCGGGGCGATGGGGTTATCTCCCGATTCTCCTGGCGTGGAGGAGGAACCTTCTCAGTCGCCGGCCTCCGCCGAGGCGCCTTCGGGGCCATGGGAGGCGGCCACACCGGACACCGCCTTCGATGACGACGAGACCGCGGACACCGCCTCCGAGCCGAGACCATCGAAGAGAGGCAGCCGCGAGTCAGTGATGATGACGAAGGCGAAAGACTACACGAAGCAGTGGTTTGCCACTGGCAGCAACCGCGATCTACAGCAGATCTCTGGCGAGGATCTCCGCACGATCTGGTGGCTCAGCGTCCGCGCGATGCAGGCCCGCGCCGAGTTCAAGAAGAGGCAGCTGGAGCTGTCCGAGAGGATGCTGAAAGAGCGGCGGAGTGGGTGTGCGAGCGCGCTCTCGTCGACGTACGCCACCCGCTATCAGTGGGCGCTCTTCGTCGTTGTTCATCTCCTTATCACCTTCTTGATTTGGTCCCATTTTTTCCTAAAGAAGTACAGGGAGCAAGAGGGACTCCCCGAGTTCATCCCCGCGGAGGACGCCCTCGCTCCGGAGGATGCTGGCATGCCAATGCCCAACTACTGGAAGAAGCGTCTGGTTCCGCCGCTGTTGTTTGGCCTCAAGCACGCCATCCTGTGGCAGATGGTGTGGCTACCTGTAACGATGAGCCGCCACCTTCTGGCCCTAACTGCTCGAACGAAGATTCGAAAGTTCGTCCCTCTGGAGCACATGACTTTCTTCCACATTGCCCTGGGATACATCACGTGCTTCCTCATCATCGTTGGCACCATCGTGTTCTTGATCTTCTTCGGGCACGGCTGTCGACAGCACCTCGGGCATTTCGGCCACCCTCTCGAGCCCATCGATTTCTGCGAGAAGATGCAGAGCGAGATCATGATCACAGGACTAGGCATCTTCGTCCTCCTGGTGATCGTGATGGTAAGCTCCTTCCTGCGGCGCCACATTCCGTTCGAGTGGTTCTACGTGCTGCACCATTTCGTGTTCGTCTTGTTCGGCCTGACCATTGCGCACACAATGGACGACCAGTTCCGGGGCGGCACTCGCATCGGCAAGAATCGGTCACAGGATTTCCGATTCATCGCCACGACGCTCAGCTTATATTTCTTGGACAGGGCTTGGAGCTTCCTCACCGTGCGGCGCGACGTGCCCGTGCAGGATGCCATGGTCTGTTCCACGAAAAGCATGCTCACGCTGGTGTGCAAGAAGCCGGTCGACTTCCAGTTCGCTCCTGGCCAGTACGCCTACATCCAGATACCTTCTTTGGACAATTCGTTCCACCCGTTCTCCATCGGCTCTGCGCCGGAAGAAGCTGTGCTCAGGTTCTACATCGTGGTGTACAAAGGCCAGTGGACCGAGAAGCTGGCCGACGCTATCGAAGAGATGACGGTCGGCGGAGTGAACATCATGGGCCCGTTTGGTCCAGGGTTCGATACAAATAACTTCGTGAGCGTCAGCGCAGTGGGCACGGGGACGGGCATCGTGCCCATGATGTCGTTGATGAGGGAGCGCTATCACAGGCTGACGCTCATGAACAAGGAGCTGCTGCAAGGGATTCAAGAGGACCCCGAGAAAGTGGTTCGGCTGGAGCACATGGCGCTCCACGAGGCCGTGAACCACACGAGGCTCATCATGCTGCAGTACAAGTGGAAGTTGCGCTGCATGCGCGTGAGGAGTGGCACGCAGACTTCGTTCATCATGTCTAAGGCCACGAATCGTACGTACTACCACTACATGTTCGACATCATCGCGCACGTCGTCCTGCTCCTGGACATGTGTCAGGGCTTCTGGACGTTCTCTTGGAAGTACCTGAACGAAATGGAGTTCAATGCCAAGTTCCAAAAGGTCGATGCAGTCCAGTGGAAGGCATTGGAGATCATGAGCATCGTCTGCATCGCGTTCTTCTTGGTGCACCGGGCCTACTTGTGGGCGAACCCTAGCATCTTCAGGCGGTCCTTCGCGGACGTGCTTGATGTGGTGGCAGTGGCGTTTATGCTCGGCACCCACTTCGCATGGGCGGGCGAGGTTCCGTCCTTTTACATCGCCCCTTCTCACATGGCCGTGCTCTTGCGCGGCTTTTTTGCGCTATGGCGCATCGCGCGCATCTACGCCGCCAGTCAAGTCGTGCGCATCGGCGACGCCAGCTCTAAGTTGGGGGTCGAGCACGACCTCGTCAAGAACGGGAAGTTCCGCGTGCTCTGGATCGTGCGGGGAGGAGACGGCTTCGCGGCCAAATGCATGGAGTTCGAGGACATGATGACGGACTTGCTCCAGAAGTTCAGCCGCTGGCAGCTGGATCGCCTCTTCGGCCTCGACATCTACATCACGGGCGTGAGCCTAGCCGAGGAGCGGAGGCTCCGGGAGCTCATCCGGGGATCGGCTATCGAGAGTTGCGCGCGCTTCGAGCGCCCCGACGTTGTCGAGTGGGTGGTCCAGAGGATGTCGGACGTGCTCAGAGACACTCTGCACGAGAGATGCACCATCACGGGCGGCTCCATGCTCGCCTTCTGTGGGAGTCCTGCGGTGGGCTTGCAGGTAAGCCGAGGAGTGCAGGAGGCGAACATGCACGCCATCGTGCTGCGGATGGCTGGCTGCCGCATGGCGTTCCAGGAGGAGTACTACGGCGTCGTGGGAGGCAAGCCGAAGGCTCAGGGGCCCCAAGAACCTAGAGCCAGCATTTTGCCCTGGGGAGCTCTCGCCCCCCCAGACCCCCCCCAAACGTGCTACCTTTCGGGGCCCAAGGTTTTCCGGGGGGGGGGGGCCCGGGGGAGGGCGAGGGCGAGAGCCCCCCCAGGAAATGTGTTGTTTGTAGGCTCTTGGGGTCCCCTGAAAGGCGCAGGTGCGAAGGATGCTTGGCAGCCAGCGCAGCAGCGTCTCCTGATTAGACCACCGCCACCTATCTGGTGATTTGAACATCTCCCCTCCTTTTCCGTGGGGGGCTCCCGCAGACCACCCAAAAACGCTCACCACAGGGGCCGAAGGCCCCAGGGGCGCCTGAGACATCATTGCAACTCCAGGCTCAGAGATGCCGCGCGCGAGGTGGTTTGGCCCGTTTCGCCTGAGACGTTCTCGCATTTCTGGTCTAAGAATTGTTGTGGCCTGAGGTGGTCTGGCCCAATTGGCTCGAGACATCCTCGCAACTCTGGGCTCGAAACTGCGACGCGCGAGGTTGTCCCGTCTGGCTCGCCGGAAACATCCTCGCATTTCTGGGTTCCGAAATGTTCCTGGCTTGAACTGGTCTGGCCAGTTTCGCCTGACACATCTTCGCTGCTCTGGGCTCGGACATGCCGCGCCAGAATTCGTTTGGCCAATTTCGCCTGACGCACCCGCGCAACCCCAGGCTCAGAGATGATGCGCTCGAGGTACTCTGGCCAGATTTGCCAGATCTATCGTCGCAATTCTGGGTTCCAAGACGCCGCGCGTGAGATGGTCGGGCCAATTTCGCCTGAGATTTCCTCGCAACTCTCGGTTCCGAGGTGCCGCGCGCGGGGTATCCCGGTCAGTTTTGCTTGAGGCATTCTCACAATTGGGCTCCGAGAGGTAGGAGAGAGGAGGAGTCGGACAGGGCCGAGCCAATCCTGCCTGTCACATTGCATGTCTGATATCGAACTGCGCCCAAGGATGGGCCCGGGCACCCCTGCCCCGAGGGGGCAGGTAGCCGGCGCCAAGGCGAAGGCATTATTTCTGAGTCATGTGAAGTTTCAGGCGGGGGGGGCGCCATGCCTCAGTGCAGGTTGAAATCTCCAGCGAGGGGAGAAGCAGAAGAGCGAGGAGGAACACTGGGAGAGGAGTGGCGAGAAATACCAGGAGGAAGAGCATCACGTGCGCGAAGACGTGAAGGAGGAAAAGACGAGAAGGTGGGATGGCAAAGACGAGGAGAAGGAGGAACGGGATGAGGTGGGGGGGAAGGAGGGGGTGGAAAAAGAAACGAGAGGGAAAGGGGGGGTGAGAAGAAGGAGGAGGAGGAGGAGGAGGAGGAGGAGGTGCGGGAGGGGGATAGGACGAGAGATATGGCAGGGGGGCGATTCCAGCAGTAACGACGACAGCGACGATGACAAGGGCGCGGGCAAATCAGGGGTGGGAGGATGATGATTCTGAGGACGCCCAAACCATGTTTGGAGCCACCGTGGCTCAAAACCGCTGTTGGGGATGTTGGGCTAAGTCTACGAATCGGTCTGTTGGTGATGCTTCTCCGCTTCGCGTTCCTCCTTGTCTTGATCCTCCTGCTGCTGCCTCCCCCATTCCCCCTCCTACCTCTCCTCCAGTTCCTCCTTGCAGGTTCTCCTCTTCGTCCTCCTCGTCCTGATGTCCTCCTTTTTCTCCTCCAGATTCCTGCGTGGCCCCCGTGGATTGCGGTGATGCTGATGCTAAAAACGGTTTTGCGTGCGTCGGTGCCGGCATCGCTATCGATGCGGGCGCCGGCGCAGATGCCGATGCTGGGCCAGGATCGGTATTTCAACAGAAGAGAAAGCCAACGCCGACAGCGTTTCGCTTCCGATCGCGCGTTCTCAGCAGGGCCACCTGGTTGGCCGTGCTGAAGGCGCGCGGAATGGCAACCGCGTAGGAACTATTTGGCGGCTTCTGCTGACGCGAGGCCTGGCCTGGCCCGGATGGGGCGAGCTCCATTTGGAAGGCGTCGCCGCATCGAGCCCAGCTGACGACCCCCGGGTCAGGCCCGCGCCCTCTTAGCAGAGGCGCCCGGGCGCCCCTGCTGAGAGGAGCCCTGCAGCTCGGGCTTCATCGCGGCAAAAGCCGCCGCGCAGCTCTTGGGCGTTCGCCGCGGTCTCAGCCAGCCGTCCGTTTCTGCCGCGGAGGACGGCCGCCCGCTCGTGTGGTTCGTCGTCGTCGCAGTCGTCGTCGTCGTCGCAGTCGTCGCCGTCGTCGTCGTCCAGGCCCCCGTCGTCGCGTCGTCGTCGTCGTCGTCACCGTTGTCGTCGCCGTGATCACCGTCGCGGTCATCGCGTCACCGCCGCGCTCGTCGTCGCGTTCGAAACTACGGCGAACCCGCGAACTCCATGACCAACTTCCGAACTTCTACAAAACAAAGATCCGGACGGGAACCGAACAAACCCCCGAACGGGAACCGAACGAACTCCCGAACAGGAGCCCAACAAACCTCCGGATTTCTACCGAACAAACCCCCGGACCTCCCTGGAGAGGCCCTCTGGGGCCGCCTGCAGAAGCCTTCTCGGGCCGCCTGTAAGATTTCTGGGACCGCCTCGGGAGGCCTTCTGGGGCCGCCTGGAGGGGCCGTCGGGGCCGCCTGCAGACGCCTCCTGGGGCCGCCTGGATTGGGGCCGCTCGAACGCGCCTCCTGGGGCCGCCTGGAAACGTTTCCCGGGGCCGCCCGCGAAAGTCTTCCAAGGGCCGCCTGGGGGCGCCTCCTGGGGCCGCTGGACACGCTTGCCGATGCCTCTCGGGGGCGCCTCCTGGGGCCGCCCAGAGAAGCCTTCGGGGGCCGCTTGGAGACACCTCGCACGGCCGCCCGGACACGCCCCCCGGCGCCGCCTGGGAAAGTTTAATTGGGGCCACCTGACGTCACTTCGCGTGGCAGCCTGGAGAGCCCTCTTGGGGCCGCTTGCTGAGGCCGTCTGGAGAAGCCTTTGGGGGGCGCCTGGAAGCCGCTTCCTGGTGCCGCCTGGAGAGGCCTCCTGGGCCCTCCTGAAGGGCGTGCCGAATCATTCAGCTGCCCCCGCGCGAACACGCCCACTAAGGCCGCAGGTGAACGTCTTCTGGGCACAACCCGTGCGAGGCATGTTCCGACATGGGCAGCCGGACGCCATGCGAAGCTGCCAATTGGTGTCACACGTGAAACTCGTTTGGGGGCATGATTCTTGTGACGGGCGTGCCGACATGGGCGGGTGTTGCGTTGTGCCGACCATGCTTTTGGGATTGTTTTTAGATGGTGGGTGTTCCTTGTGGGCACGATCTACGTGATGGCGTTGTGCTGCATTGGCCCAAGAGCGCTCCTCGAGGGGCGACGATGGCACCAAAACAGCTTCAGAGGCCCCCAAGTCGCCCCAGGTGGCCGCCGCGAGGACTTCCAGCAGGGAGTCCGGAGGGACAAACCATCCCCAAGGTTTTTGAAGAATTTGGGTGCTCTCGCTTTTTTTTTCTGACCAGAAATCGGCCAAAGACGGTTCTGACACGCCCACCCCGTTCAGGCACGGAGGCGACATGTTGTAAATATATCTATATTTATATATATATACATATATACACATGTATACATTTACATACATACATACATACATACATACATACAGACAGACAGACAGACAGACAGGCAGACATACATACATACATACATAATAGACATACATAACACACGAACGCATACACACGTGCACATACACATATACATATACGCATATGGATTGCACATGCAGCGGTATTACGCTATTTGGAATGCGCCCCACTTGCCCCATTTGCCCCCGCTTGCACCAATTGCCCCACTTGCTCCACTTGCCCAAATAGGGCAAGTGGGGCAAGTGGGGCAGGTGGGTCAGGGCAAGTGGGCCTCGCCATTTCCGCAACGGCGGGCGGGCGGGCGGGACAACTGGGGCAAGTGGGGCATGAAGGGTGCATTCCAGATAGCAGCCAGTTGGGCTCCTCGTCTTTGGTGCGAGTTGGTGCAAGGGGCGCATTCCAGATAGCAGCCAGTTGGGCTGCCTCGTCCTCATGTGCCCTCGCCGTGCCCCTGCTTCTCGTCTCCGGGGGCGCAGGGGAAGTTTTGCCCCGGCCCCCCCCCCCTGCCCTCCAAGGCGCAGGCGGGGCGCGCGCCTGGAGTACGCGAGGGCGAGCGAGCGAATGGAGGAGAAGGAGCAGGAGGAGGGGGAGGAGGGGGAGGACGAGGAGGGGTGAGGAAGAGGAGGGGGAGGAGGAGGGCGCCCCCTGGGGGTCCCAAGACGCTTGAATCCGCCCCGGGAAACCCAGAGTTTTCAACATGATGTTTCTCGAGGCGCGTTGCCACTGTAACAATGCAGTGGATTCGGCGGGCCCTCCCAGATTCAAAACATGTCGCATCCATTCGCTTGACATTTTTTGAATTTCGCGTGGCTGCCTTAGAGTGTTGTGTTTTTTCAATTGAAAATGGGCCCTCGGGAGATTGATGTTGAAAACTTGGCGGAGGGGCCTTGGACTCTGAGCGGACCCGGTGATTTCCCAGCTCCCCCTCCTCCTTCCCATCTCGCTCCTCCTCCCCCTCCCCCCAGTTTTCCCCCCGTGTTTGGTTTGGCCTGCGGTTCCATTGCCCCCCTTGCCGTGCTCTCTTCCCTTCTGATCTGCTGCCTCCTCTCGCGCCCCCCTTCCTGCCCGCTGCCTCCTCTCCCCTCCCCTTCCTAGTCCTTCTTTTTGTCCGCCCCGCCGCCCGCTTACCCCTCCCTCCCTAGCTGGCCTGCGACTGGCCAAATTGCTGGGCATAGTTGGCAGTCGTTCGCAGGATTGCGACAGGAGGAGGGGGGGTCCCCAAGAGGCCCCAAGATGACCCCCAAGATGACCCCCAAGATGACCCCCAAGAGGACCGCAAAGGGGACCCCGAGAGGACCCCCAAGAAGCCCCCCAAGAGGACCCCCAAGAGGACCCCCAAGAGGGCCCGAAGAGGACCCCCAAGAGGACCCCCAAGAGGCCCCAAACTGACCCCCAAGAGGCCTGTCAAAGCCCGAGTAGTAAGTGAGGGGTCCTCCGGACCCTCTGGGGAAAGTGTGAGGGCTAGCTTGTTCTCCTCTCGCGGGTTCCCCACCGCGAGTCTCCAAGCTAGCTAGTGCCCAAACGGCAGCGGAGTGAGGCAAGAAGCACTGAATCAACACTGCCACAACTTAAAAGTTGCCTCAACTCCGATTTTTGGGCTCAGCTTTGACTGAACACCTTCACAGCACACAGAACATGTCTTGGGCACGGCGCACAAGAAGCGAAAGCCACTCAGATGACGATCGCCTAGTGGAGCCGGTCCTCCGAGGCTGACGCCTTGGACGTGGGGGCTCCCACGCGACTCGAGCCCGCCGCTCT